CGCGCTAATGAAAGTTATATTTCTATTTTTAGCTGAAATTTTAAAATTAATAAAAGATGTATCGAGTGAATATCTTGGTTCACATAATTTTCATAATTTTACATCTGGTAAAAAATTTACTGATCCATCAGCTCGACGACATATTTTTTCAATTAATGTAAGTTGAGTTTTTAATTTGAATAAATTATTGTTTTGTTTTTCGTTTCAGATTGCTGATCCATTTATAAAAGAAAATGTTGAATTTACTATAATTACAATTAAAGGTCAAAGTTTTATGTTACATCAAATAAGAAAAATGATTAGTAAATATTTAAGAAAATTTCATTGAATAGACGAATTTTATTTAATAATGATTTTATTTTAGGTCTCATTATTGCTATTGTACGTGGTATTGCTAGTCGAGATACGATTCAACAAGCATATAATGCTGATAAGGTAAATATTTATTTAAACTAAAACCTAGATCATCGTTTCATGTTTTATTCTTTATACATCTTGATGTTAAGCATCGTACACAAAAATGGAATTTAGCAGAGGTGCAGAATCTTCCTCATGCGCCCCCGCGCGGGAGGGGAAATTTTTTGAAAAACTCAAACAATAGGGAAATTTTGAAAAAATCCGCTGGCCAAAAAAAAATACAATGGGGAAATTTTCCAAAAAACTTTTTTGCGTGGGGGGAAATTTTTGGATTTTTGGAAGATTCTCCACCTCTGGAATTTAGCCATCACTAAATTCAAAACTCTTTAAAAGTCATTAGACACTTCTTATGTAGTGAAAATCGTGATCTATTAATAACTTTTTATGACTCGCACTTTATATTCTACTTAAACATTTTCCGATAATCATATTGACTAATGGATATCATCAGTTTAGTATATGATAAATTAGTTTTACAATCTATATTCTAGGAAACCAAATAGAATATTCTACGATATTTGTCAAAGACAATACTTCATTAAGAAAAGCTTGTCGAGGAATATATGCTGCTCTACAGTTTTTTGTGACATACAGCCACGCTTGTGACTAGAATGTAAATAGTCAGTGTGTACGAGGAGCTTAAGCGATTGAACACAAAAATTGCGTCAAGCAGACCTTCTGTCTAGAGTTACATGTAGTCATAGCTGTAGGGAAACTGTCGGACTAATGAGTTTGCTGCTATGCAATACCCTATATCACAAGGTAGTTGAGAAGCAGGAGTGAGTATTCTTCTCCTTTTTTATTGAACCACTTCATATCTTCAGAATGTGATTATCTCACATACAACATAAGGTTTTATAGGAAAACATACAGTAGTACTGAAAAGGATATTCGAACAGTTCTTTTTTACAAATTGCAGGAAGAAAAAAAAATGAAAGACAATTTGCGATAACAGTTCAAAATTTTGACAGGCAAGACGTGAAAAGTGGAAGGGGATAATCCACTCCAGTCTCATCCCACGTGAGATATTTGATTGGATATGTTGCTTATATTTTCGTACAAGTGCAAGATCATCTGCTTTGTTTTCGTAAAAGAAAAGATTTCTCATAACTACGTTGTTCAATAATCCAGGTAGAACCATTCTCATGATGAAATCCTCAAAATTTAAAATGAAGATTGCAAAATCTAGGAAATTTTTCTATTATAATATTTTTCTAGATTGATGTACCAAAAGCACCACCACTTGGTCTTGTACTTGAAAAAGTAAATTTTTCATATCTATTCTCCAAAGTAAAATCTTTAATATGTTTTTAGCTTCATTATGATCGATATGATAAAAAATTTGGAAAAGATGGTCAACATGAAGCATTAATGTGTGAAGAAGCTGATGTATGTTTTTTTTTTAATATCATAAATTTTAATAAAAATTTCTTTCTAGACTGAAATAACAAAATTTAAAGAAGATGTCATTGTTCCACACATCGTCAAAAAAGAAATCGCCGATAAATCGTATCCTTTTTATATATATGAAAAGCAATTTTTGACAGAGTTTTTAGTAGTTCAGGTTTTTTGTATTTCCTTGACTTTTTTCTTCCCGTGATATTAGTATGTTGGCGTATTTGGAGCGATTAATTATTCATTCATTTTCTTCAATGGATAGCGAGATCGATTGGCGTCTTTCACTTCCCTATCAGATTGTCTTTCAAAAAGTTAGAACAAAAATGGATTCAACGGTAAGAATGATTTTCCAATTAATCCTCTCTACTCTAACGAAAAACAAAACGAGAAAAACTACATTCACACATATATATATACGCCAATAGTCCGTCTTTTTTGTTCTCCTTAACTTTCTTTTAACACAGTATGTTTTCATGGCTTTTTTTCGGTCCGATGCTTTCACGCTATGAACATAGCAGTCCATATTTCTCGATTGTTACTTACATTATTCCCACATTACTCGGACGTCTACGTCATTTGCCTTTTGTGCAAAAAATACTCGATAATGCTTTAATGAATGAGGTATGTATTTTATATAATAATAATTCGAGAGAATTTTTTTTTAAATATATGAGGAATAGTAAAGAGTAAAAAAACAACATTTCATTCGTGTTATTTTGTTCCTTGACTTATAAAATCTCAGTATGTTCAAATGGCTTTCATTTTTACCATGTCATCACTTTGATCGACTTTCACCATTTTATCCTCCGGGAGCATATACTGGCGTTGGTCGAGGATTGTATCTCTTGCAGCAGCAGCAGGAAAGTTCTGTGAAGGTATATTTTACTTTTTTTTTTAAATTTATTTCGGTTGATTAAAACTGAATAATAATGAATAGATTTATTATTTAATTTTATTAATGTTGTTTTGTTTTGTTTTAAAATTCATTTTTTTCAGTTGGACGACGATGACGATGAAAATGGCGCCGATGAATAAACACAATTCTGTTGTTTTTTCTTGTTACGTGTTTTTTTTTTCATCTGTGTTTTTGATACTCACTGTTTGTGATAAATGAAAAAGAAAAAAAGAAAAATGGTGGTGTGACCAATATTTGATCTTTAAAATTTATAAAAAAAAAAAAAAAAAGGATGTTCGACAGACGTTGGTGTATCTTTTGTTTTTTGTTAATAGATAAACGAAAGGAGTGTTTTTCAAAACGAAGGAAAAGTTTTTGAATAACACGTGATTTTTCTTTTGTTTGTGTCTGCTGAATATAAATCAAACAAAATATGGATATTGTTTTGAATATTTATGATCAATGGCTTTTAACACCATATGTCTATCCAAAGCAAGGTTGGCCTGAAGATGATCTTATTCGACAATTAATTTCATTAACTCTATTAATTAATATTCATGCAGCTATTTTATATTTTCTTTTGGCTGGTTTTAGCTATTTGTTTTTATTTGATAAGCAACAAATGAATCATCCATTATTTCTTAAAGTAAATCTAATTGATGATCTTATCTATACTTTTTTTTAATCTATTAATAATTAATGAATGATTGTTTTTAGAATCAAATTCGGCAAGAAATCATAGCTACACTTCAAAACATTCCACCTATGAGTGTGCCTACAATAGCCATTTTTTTACTTGAAGTACGTGGTTATTCAAAATTATATGATAGTTCACAACGTCCTTATGGTAAATGATAAATTTACTTATTTGTTTTTTTTTTTCAATTTATTTTATTTTCTAATAGGTATCATTCCATTTTTAAAAGAATTTGGTAGTTTTTTATTTTTTACTGATATGTTAATTTATTTTATTCATCGTGGTTTACATCATCGACTTATCTATAAACATATGCATAAATTACATCATCGATGGATTGTTCCAACACCGTTTGCAAGTCATGCATTTCAATGGTTAGATGGTTTTCTTCAAAGTTCACCGTATCATTTATATGCATTTCTATTTCCATTACATAAATTGGCTTATTTATTTTTTTTTATTTTTGTTAATTTTTGGACGGTTAGTATACATGATGGAAATTATCTAGTACCAAAATTATTTCAACCAATAATTAATGGTGCAGCACATCATAATGATCATCATCAATATTATGATTGTAATTATGGACAATTTTTTACATTTTGGGATCGTTTAATGTGTTCATTTCGATTGCCAGCTATTTATAATGACAAGAAAAAAGATATTGATTGATAATTATATTTTTCTATTATTATTATATTTTTCTATTGTGCATAGATATTAAATATTTTGATGGAAAATTCATTGAGTTATGGAAAGATTTTTAAGTTAATGTCGTATCGAGTATTTTGTATTTTGAATATTTTTATTTTTAATAAAAATAATGAAAGAAAGTATTTCTTACAAGTGAGATAGATGCTTTCGATGATGATAATATTAGAAAGATCAAGTTTTTTTTTCGATTGTTGAACTTTTGATTTGTACAATTAAAATTGAAATGTCGAATAAAACATGAAATCCTGTTTTTTTCTGTATCATAGAAAAGTTTCCTTAGGATATAATAAAAAAGAAATACAGAAACAAGTTCATTAAGTGTTTACTTAAGTAACTCTCGAAACCTGACACCATGTGATTTTTGGTTATTCGAGTTAATCAAACAAAATCTAAACAATTCTAAATCGCTCCATCGTGTTATAAATAAGTTCATGAATGACAACTCTTATTGAAATTTTACTATTATAATATTACTTGAAGAATGATCAACTATAATAAAAAATATAGAGCATTGTTTTTACTATGAAACCATATAGAGAAAAGGTTTCTTTAATTGTTTTATAAGAAACTAAAATACTTTCACCACTACTTTTGATATATCTTAAATAGATACACAAAAGAAAAAATTGATTCAATTGGCGTGACCTGTTACATTGCCTACCATTTCGTCCTTTTCGTTCATTGCTTTAAATGACTTCTTTATTGAAGGTTTTTGTTTGTTGATATGAGAAAAAAAAACGAACGGCAATTGCCTTGTCGTACACATGTACAGCTATCTAAAATGATGCATATCGTTCATAATTGCAGACAAAAAAAAATATTCAATTTCAAAAGTTGTCGTTGTGTACTAGCATCTTTTCTTAATAACGAATACTAAAAATGTTGTCATCAAGAATCAATTCGAATAATGGTCATGACGAAGATGAGCCAGCCATGCCGAGTGGTTATGAATCGCGGTCAAGATTAGCATCACGCACTGTACCTTCGACAAATTTTTCTCTACCACGACCTATCATACCTCTTATGATTCGACCAACTCGACAACCTCCTATAATACCTTCAATGATGGCATCGCAACCACAATTATCTTTCAGACCAACCATTTCTCCGGTAAGGCGTCGTAAACGTAGACAAAGATCAATTACACCAGAGATTGTCATTGAACGACGACATCGTCATCATCAATCATCGGGAAGACATCGAATAATTACGATTCCACTCGATTATCAGCCAACACTTGGTTTACGTGGACCTCAACAACGTGTGTTGGAAATTGAACGTGTACGATGTCGTCGTCATCGAAAACGTCATTCATCATGCTATGAAATTGAATATGATGATTCACCACCATCATTATCACAACCACAACCAAACATCATAATCGCCAATCCAATACCTAATCCATGCTCACCACCAGCTCAATCATCATTCATAACATATGCTAATAATACTGTTGATCCATTAGCATTATTTTCAAATCTAACTGCAGACATAATTGAAAATTTACCAAAACAAGTGGTTTATTTACCAACTATGAATTTTCTAGGTAGTCAAGTTAATGCTAGTACAGAATTTGATACGGTTGTATTTCCTACCGAAATAATCAATCCTATTGATGGAACTCTATCGATTATTCAATCCAATTCTACAATAAATGCTAGTGAAACTACAAATATTCAACCTACAATTCCAGCTCCTGCAGAACCACAATTAAACAATATACCAACAAATATCAGACCACCAATGGCACCATTAACAATGACATCAGGTCCATTTATGCAACAAGTTCAAGATTTTTTACAACGACTTACTCTTTCACAACCACAACCAACATCACTACCTTCCAATAATACTATAATCGAACCATCACTACCTCTTACATCACAATATAATACAGCAACTAATGAATATTACAATCTACAAACTATTCCTCAGATCAATACAAGAAATACAGAACCATACCCATCAGCAAATATTCGACCGACAAATACACCAAATAGTGGTTCATATAATTCAACAACTTTTAGACCGTCCAATATTATGACTCATCGTTCAGCTAGTAATGGACCATCTAGTCCAGCAAACATAACATCTTATCCTCCAGCAAATATTACATCGTATCGTCCACTTAATATTACACCATCAAGCCGAGCAAATAGAACACCTTATCATCCAGTTACAATTACATCATCTAGTTTAGCAAATATAGCACCTTATCCTTCAGCAAATATTACACCGTATCATCCAGCTAAGATTACACCATCAAGTGAAACAAATATAACACCTTATCATCCAGTTACTACTACATCATCTAGTCCAGTAAATATTACACCATATAGGCCAGCGAATATTACACCTTATCATTCAGTCAATTCTACATCATCAAATCTGAAATATCCGCAGCCATATGATCCCGCTAGTATTTTACCTTCTACTACGTCAAATACTGGCCCATACCGTCGAGCAAATATAACACCTTATCATCCGATTACTACTACACCATCTAGTCCAGTAAATATTGCACCTTATTATTCAGTTAATTCTACATTTTCGAATCCGAAAAATGAACAACCATATGATCCGGCCAGTATTCCACCTTCTATGACGTCAAATACTAGCCCGTATCGTCAAGCAAATAGAACACCTTATAATACCATGCATAGTCGTTCTGGTGGTAGTTCTATATTGCCACTTTCTATTCCATCTGGATCAACTCCTTATATCTCACATTCATCTTTAATTTCTTCTAATTTTTTTACCACTGATCCATTGGGTATTAATAATACTCCGATGAATAAACCATATTCATCACGATCATCGTCGCAAACTCCTCATCGATCGACGAACATAATGCCAAGATCAATTCTTCGTAATACAACATCTAATACTCTCTCAAATACTACTTCTACTCATTTAACTCTGCCAAGTGTTTTGTCTCCGAATGATATTGTTCGTAAGACGACAACATTTGCTTAAATGTTTTATTTCTACTTAACAAAAAGAAAAAGAAAAATTATTAATTTTGACATAGACATGCAACATTTTGATAGAATTCAGTAGCATTTGCTGTTGGCACCCTCGTGTTTTTTCTTTTTCTTTTTTTTTCATATCTCTGCTCGTTTCTTGTTTTGTTCTTAAGGCGTAATCATTACATTCCATACTCCTACATTTATAGAAAAATCATCAGAAGGCAAAAGATTTCATAAAATGATTATAATTGTTCTATTCACGTGAGAGTATATGAATAAATGGAAAAAAAGAAGAAACAGAGAACGAAAAAAAAGTATTCCAATCACATCACCAATCGTGAAGGTCTTCTATTGAATACACATGAGTGTTCAAACGAATCGATAAAATACTAATGTTTTATAATAAATACTGAATTACATGGCAACAAACAAGAGTCGTTCATTCTCTTCAACAACACGTCGTTTAGATGAAAATAATTTTAAAAATTCTATAAAAAATAATTATCACATACAAACTACTCCACCACTTTCAATTCAACAATATTTACGTTTTGCTTCTGGTGTAATTGTTGGTGGTAAACAATGGCAACCATCTGGTAAATATCGTCCACCTCCATTTCATTCTTATTTATCACCTGAAATTCGAAAACAACCATCGCGACCTGAACCTGTATGGCATCCATCTGGACCTTATCGAGATAAACGACCAACATCACTTAGTCCAGAAATAAAAAAAGAAAAAACTATTCAAGAACCTGTTTGGCATCCACCAGGACAAAAACGAGAAAAACCTTTGCCTTATTTTGATCCACCTGGTTTACGATGGTCACTTCAAGATCTTTTACGATCAATGCCTGATATGAGATCACAATCGTTTCGTGCATCTAGTAGTATGTCACATTTACGAAAAAATGAAGCTATTCAAGAAATATAAACAAGTACTTTTAATTTTTGTACCATTTGGTGCTAAATAGATCTAATTGACTGTTTATGAATATTCTTCTATTAACTTAGTATATATATATATAGTTTTAATCTTTTTTCTGTACGCTTCGTTTGTGTATATGAAACTTTTATTTGGGTATTTAGACAAAAACTAAGTGCTTTTATGCTTTGGGCATTTATTTTATGCAAAACAAAAGGGAAAAAATAACATTTATTATTATTATTATTTATTGATGATCAACTAAGAACTTAAATACATAAATGAAGGATTGAAATAAAAGGAAATTGATGTGGTTTCTTTTAATGGATAAAATTAATTAAAAACTGATACGTTTAATATTTTTCTGTTTCATCAACGTATTTTTTCTGAACAAATTCAGAATTCTACTGAAGAAATCTAACTTTAAAGACAGAAATAAACTAAACAATCATGACATTACTCGACATCTTTTAAAAAGAAATGCAGCTATCAGTAGAAAAGCCATAAAAACGCATCGATTTGTGTGTGTGTGTGTGTAGCTACTGAGCTTCTCTACTCCGACACTGACACGCACACTTCTAGATTGAACACCTGATACCGCTGACTTAAATGAAAAATATTGCTACTCGCAATCCAAATGTATATAGGGTGACCCAAAAGTAAAGAATCACAGAATTTTTTTTTTCATTTCTTCTTTGTATATGGTCAATTAGACCTCATATTTATACCGCATATATTACGTAATACTACTTAGTAGAAGATGTAGCACACACTCAGTCTTTTGGTACAGTAATTTGTTCAAAAGTGTACAAATAAATCTTACTGCTTGTCTGTGACTCTAAGAGTAATTCAATGTTTTTTGAGTTCCATTATTTTGTCTGCCTATTCCGACTAGATTACATTTTGAACTGATTTAGCATAAAGGAGAAGTTAAAATTAATTAAACGGGATTCATTTAATAGATCAAAATCAGAAGATAAAACTATAGAACTAAAAAACCATCAAAGTTCTTATACAATCACAGACAATCAAGATCAGTAAGATATATTTTCATTCTTTTGAAGAAATTATTCTACCCAAAGACAGATCATATTCTATGATTTTAATTGTTATTACCTAATATATAATATGAGGCCTAACTGATCATGTACAAAGAATAAATCGAAAAAACTCTGTGTCTCCTTACTTTTGGACCCCCTGTGTTTAATGATTGATAACCTAAAGAAAGATTATGCATTCAATATGCGCTCGATGAAACAACTTACCAACGATATAAATAAAACTCTTTTAGACATCAATGAATTATTAATTTAATGAAACGATATGAAAAAGTTTCATTAGTATTTGATGAATATTTTAATAAGATTAGTATTACATTATAATCATATTTTATTAGTAATATCTTATGTACTATTGATTGATGTTTCCATTTTTATTATGACAATAGATTTCTCTAATACAAAATTGTATCTGTTTTTCTTCATAAAATAATGGGTAGCAAATAATAAACGGGACCAATATTTTCCTTCTTTCAAGGCACTTCCTAACACATTAAAAACTTCCATAGAGAGTTTCCTGCTCTACAAAACTATTATCTTTGTTTTCTTGTTGGTACAAAATTTAAAAGCCGAACGACTACGCAATCACCCAACTGTCATGGGCAAAAAAAGAAAAAAAATTCATAAAGATTTTGCTGACATTTGAAGTATGTTACAAAGTTCTACACAATACTCGATATCTTTTGATATATATTTCAGAATTTTAGAAAACAAAATGTACCAGAAAAATTTTTGAAGTAAAAATTATGAAAAAATCCTTTTTGAGCAGAATAGCATCATTGTTCTTCTTCAATGCTACATAACTTAATTTCTCTACTCTCTAATTTAATCATCATATCATTTTCTTCAGAATAAAATTCGACACCCACGACAACGTGAGAACAAATGTATTATAGACGACCAAGTCTCACTTTGGAAAACATGATTTTCTAGAATGTGTATCAACATATCACTAGGTGTTAATTCCAGGACTTTCTCTTCTGAACAATAGTAACAGAGAGTACAAAATTCTTCATACATTGATGCCAAACATTTTACTTTTAGCATCGACCCTGCTGAGAAAAGGATTACACAAATCGATAGATGCTTGCAGAAAACCGGAAGTCACAGTTAGACGATTGACTGTAGGTGCTCATTGTTTAAATTTTACATTTACAAAATGGAAGCTAGTTGAAACAATAATGGCGATGGTTTTGTAGAACAGGAAATTCTCTATCGGAGTCTCTAAAGTGTGTTGACAAGTACCCCAAAATGAGGAAAAACTTTTATTCCGTTTATAATGAGCGCGCCATTAATGATAAATAAAATATGTTGATAAAGTAGAAAAATTTATTAATAAATCTTAATTTTTCTCTGTAACGTGACCAAACCGATATTGTTTTTTTTGTTTTTCAAACAAAATTTGTTTCATTATTGAAAGAAATCTCGAATTATATCCTTGAAAGACATGATGTATGATTGGGAAACAGGCACTCTAACTGATTTTTTCTAACATTGAACACATATTCGTTTCAAGGTATCATACTCCTTAGAGACAAGAACAATAAAAAAAAAAAAAAAGAAGACGGTATCACACATCAACAATAGTATTTCAATCACCTTATACATGTCAATAGTTTCTCTTGGGAAATATTCATTTGTATGGAAAGATACTCTTTAAAAAGAAATATTCTTTTAATAAGATAGAAAAATAATAATTTCTCTCAACTATTATTTATTAATACTGAATTATAATAATTATTATTATTCATGAAAATAAAGAAAACTACTTCTATAAAATTTGATTTATTTATCAAAAAAGAAAACTTCTCAAGTATTTCATTAATCATAAAAAAACATTAATAATATTCTTTTCCACTTATGCTACCTTTAGAAATAAGATTAATTCTTCTTATTATTTTTTTCTCTCTTATAAAAAAACACTTGATGAATATCTGTTAAGATATTTTCCATCATGAGTGGACACTCGATTTTATACGTTGACATATTGAAAGGCTAAGCAGGTGTTAATTGTATGCTACACTACTTGTTAGAATAATGTATGAAAATTGACGATGAGATCAATAAGACACCTTTCGTTCTTTTTTGTTTAGATATCTGATGATTTCGAATATGAAATGAATTCATTCTTGCATTAAAAAAAAAAAAAGAATATGAAAATAAAAATTCTCTTTATTGTCATTCAGAATAAATTTAAGAGTCGTTTCTCATAAGATTAATCAATGGTTTTTGGTCCGACAATATATTTGATTGATGTATAGATTTTTTTTCTCGTCATATGTAAACATTTTATCATTCTTGTGTCACGTATAGAAAGATTGTAAATCTTATTCTATCGTTATCATACATTAACTGTCTTACAATAGTATTTTTACTTATGATAAGTTCTTTATATTTTCTTTTATCTGTTCGGTTAATTTACAATGATCCATTTGACATTATAGTATTGTGACAATATTTTTAATTTGTTTGCCATCTGTATAAGTTATTCTACACTATTAATCTAATCTCAAAAGTTTCCATAATGTTTTCGTTTTCTTTGTTGTCTAAAATCATTTCCAGCCTTTAAAATGTTTATTTAACTTCTTAGATGCCGAAATCATTAAACTGCTTCTTTTTTTTTTTATTATTTTCATACAGTAAATTAACGCCATAATCATAATATTGTTCGTTTTATTTCCTTCTATTTCGCCCGCCTTCGATTCATTCCCCTTAGATATATAAAAAGCATACATTTGTTGATATTGCCGCAGGACAAACACAGCAATAGAGATATAGACAGAACAAGCAAGTAATATCTTTCTTCTATTGATATTGATTGTTATTTTGTATTTTCACATAAACAATTTGCGGTTGAATTCTTCGTACTCTATATACATGTATATAGACTATCGATGTCATATGGTGTCGGCAAAATCAACATAAAAAACAATAGAAAGAAATCTATTGATAATCATCTTTTCGCCACAAGAGAGTTTAAACGTTTGCTCATCATTTTTATTTTTCATCTGTTCATTTAAAATA